ACAATTTTTAACAATTGCTTTAGAAAAGATAGAAATATTTTTATCAGGAGATTTAGAACAACAATTTTGATTTTTAATAAAATTTTAATTTTTGCAGGTACATTCTTCGTTTTTGGCTGCTTGAGCCTTCTATATTCGGCATGATCCTTTGTAGGCTGCCGTTCTTTCTTCTGTCCTCTGAACTACATTCGTCAGGTGTTTCGTGAACCTTAGGCCCGTGTCGATGTATATATCTAGGTATTTTGCACATTTTGTACGCATTAAAATAGTACTATCGATTTGAAAAGTAATCTCGGGTCTTCGTCGTGGTTCTTTTAGTATGACCACTTGCGCTTTGCTTCCTACAGTTCGAGATCGTTTTTAGCCATCCAGCTGTTGACTTTATCTTTTACGATTGTTGACGATTATTCAGTCCATGTAAGTCGGGACCAGGTCATCTGCGTATGCGATACGGAGCTTAAACGTGGACATTCATAAAAATAAACATGGACAAGATTCGAAAAACTTAGCAAGCTATAGAACGATAGATGCTTGGTATCTCACTCATAGATAGACAAAGAAACGAAGAAATCCAAAACAAAACAAAAGTAAGGGACGTCGCGGAGCAAGCAGCTAAATAAAAGTGAAAATGGATTGTACACAACGAACGTCTCGAAATAGAAGAGTAGAATGAAACGATCATATAGGCTGAATGACAACAAATAGAGTAGTAAAGACGGCACGAGACGGTTTCCCAATAGGAAGACGATCAGTAATAAGACCACGAAAACGATGGAGTAACAACTTACTGGAGGCACATTGAAAAATAGACAGAGTCATGTCTATATAAAAAGAAGAAAAAGGAGAAGAAGGAGAACGTCTCTAAGATGGAAGTTAGAAACTGGCGACCGTACGAAGCGAAGATACCAAGAGGAAGACCTCAAATGCGCTGGAGTGACGATATCAAAAGAGTCATGGGATCAATGTAGAAACGCCTCGCCCACAACAGGGATGAACGGTGAGAAAGGGGAGAGATCTTTATTTGACAATTTGAATAGAAAAAAGGTTTAAAAAAATCTATCCATACTCTAGATATTCAGACATTTACACATATTTTAACAAGCTGGATCAGTTTTGTAGGAAACAAAATTTCTGCTATTTTATTCCACATCTGATCCCTTATAATGATGTCTTAACTTTCTCGGAAATCTATGAAGAGATTATGGATAGTTCTATTGCTTTCCCATCCTTTTTGAAATAGCTATCTTAGAGTAAAATTTGATCTATGGTCGATCAATCTTTCCTGATTGGACTTGGTATTTCCCTACGAAATTTTCTACAAAAGGTGTTAGCCTATCTAATAAGATACTCAATAAGATTTTGTACGCCGGATTAAGTAGAAAGATTTCCTATAACTAAAGCACTTGGTTTTGTCTCCCTTTTTATGGATAGGGATTATTATTTCTCTTTCGTGCCATTTTGTTAATATTTTCTCTTCATTCCATATAAGTATTATTAGTTTGTATAATTTGTTTCTTCAATTTGTCAATTGCAATATTTGGTCTATTTTTGGGTCTTCTGCAAGTAGGTCCACCCAAGGTTTATATTATCTCCATGTTTTTCCTCTTGATGTATGTTTAGTAAACTTTTGAAATATGTTTGCCATGTTTAGAACAGCTTTTCTGCTTTAAATATATTAGTGCATCCTTATTTTTCATAAGTACACACAGACAGTTAGATTTGAAGCTTCTCTTTTCATTTGACACCGATTTGTAAAATGCTCGACTTTTTGACTCTTGTCTATTCCTTTCTATTTCTTCATATTGCTGTTTTTCATATTTGCTCGTTTCTCTAATTTTTCGCTTTTCCTGTCAGTAGTTTTTCTTTGTATTCTTTATCAAACCATTTCCTTGTTGTTTTCCGTTTTTTCCTATTATTAGTTCTGCTGTTTCTGTAATTCTTTTTTCAATTTTTTTCCACAGCATTTCGACATCATTGCTCTGGTATACTATATTCAGTTGTTGCTTCTCTACCTGCACGTAAGTTTCTCGGTTTTCTTCATTTTGTAGTTTTTCGATCTTCCATTGTACCAATACTTTGTTCATGTTAAGTTTCTGTGACGATATTTCTAAGCTGATTTTTGATTCCACTAGGTAATGATCTGTTTCTCCATCTATTTCTCTGAGGCTTCTTAATATTAAATAGAATATAAAGAATAAAAATAATTTCAAAATTTAAGTATAATAACTAATATTTTTTCTTGAAATTTCCTTTTGCTATTCTTGTGTTTTATAGTAAAAATTCTAAATAAATTTATATCTGAATATAGATTAAAGAGCTATGATCCCGTTGATCATAGTAATCATTAAATATATTAAAGTTTCCACTATGTGTAAACCTATTCTCAAATTTTACCCGCTGCACGTTTTCCGACCATCTTCCATTCGACGAGACGAAGTGTAAATCCCACTTGAAATTCAGTAAGAATCCTGATATAAAGGCAATATATAACAGAGTCCTTCCTCCAGGAACAGCCCCCTTCACGCCTCATCGTTACCCTTCCTTCCTGTGTGCGGAGTTTCCTTCCTTGACAGCACCGTACTTCCGAAAACTTTCCGCATTCAATGTAATGCCACAATATTAATGATCATCATCGTTATAGTCTCAAGATTCGAACACTGGATTTATAAGTACAACGTTGCCCGTTATGAAACAATATAAGGATTTAAAGTGAAGCATATCAGCATTTGTTTTATCTTTTATGTAATTATATTACTATGAAATAACATACATTTAGATCCATTTTGCAGCAACCAAGAGAATTAGTATGGTATGAGAATAGAATACGTTGGATATTATAGTATTGCAATACACTACTGGCTGAATTTAGAGGTAATAGTAAAAAAAAGACATAAGCATAATATTTGTAGACGGTTGTGGACTGCTTCTCCTTCCTCTCAATAAACAATTCTGCGTGTTCATTAACTCACTAATACCTCTATGGAAGGTTGTCACTATATTTTTTGCGCGATCGGCCAACACTTCTATTGTTTGGTGATTTATCTCTTGTTATTTAGATTACTTGGGTCTCCTCCACTCTATTTAGAGTGACTATACCACTCTTTTTTTCTGTCCAATATTCTGTGTTGATAGTTCTACTGTACTAGCTGATTCTAAGTATACGTAAAATCACATGTCAAACGCTTACAGCTTTAAATGTTCCTTCTTCATTATCCCCATTTTATATCCATACAGCAGTAAGGACCAAAAGTAGTACTTTAGTGTCCGAAATCTTAATTGGATGGCCAATTTCGGGTGGCATAGAAATTTTTTTATGTTGACAAAAACAGTCCTAGCATTTTCAATACGTTCCCTAATCTCTTTTGAGTGGGTCAGCTGAGCATTTATTTCTCTTCCTAGATATATGTACCAGTAAAAGTGTTGGATGTTAATATCGTTGATAACCCTATTGGCACTCCTTTACATGTAGGTTCCACAATCAAGGACCACAGCGTTGTCTGCATAATTTAGGTTTTTTTTGCCTCAGGTTCAAAACCTATTTAGCCAGATATTTGGTTGGATAAGTAAAAACATTTAACTTTTATACTTCCTTTAAAGTTATATCAGACAATTTCCTATTTCGTTCATTCACTCAATTTTCTAATCTTCCCATTGAAAACACTGTTGGTGACTGTTCAAAAAGGATTGAATAAGGATACACGCTTCACGCTAAGGTATCCATGATGACGACTTTTTTTTTAACAAATTATAATTGTCGGAAATACTATAATTAATGTCCTATCATTTCGCATTCAGACAACAGTGCCTGGAAAAGGTAGTTTTAATTTTCCGTTTGGTACGTTTAAAAATTTGACTACTTAAATAAAAAAGAGAAACACCATTCTGCGGCAGTATGATTTTTTGATGACATTCTGCAGATGATGGACGAAAGAAGATTAGTGAAAAACAGGGACGCAAAGAAATACCAAGAAATCAACCAAACAATTAAAAAATAAATGCGAAGAATTTACAAGAAAAATGTAAACTAATCGAAGAGCTCCAAGTGAAACACGATCATATAAATATCAACGAAAAGATTCGAGAAGCCACTGGTCAATACAAGAGCATAAACACACACTTCCTCATAATCAAAGACCAGAACCTGGCGACGACAGTTAAGGAGAAGTTGGTGACCTGGAAAATGTACATCGAAGAACTTTTCTGGGACTACCGAGGTAACCCTCCAGAAATAAATTGCATGACAGGCCCGTCAATACTAGAAAGCGAGGTAAAAGCAGTTTTAAAACAGTCTAAGAATGGTAAGACCACAGGTCCGGATGAAATACCAGTTGCACTTAAAGGTGATAAGTGAGCACAAAGGAAATAACTGAACTGTTATCTAACGCCATATACGATTCAGGTAATACCCCAGAGAAATGACTATTGTCAACATTTGTAACATTACCAAAAAAACGATCTGCGAAAACGTGTGAAAATTTCCGGACTATTAGCCTTATGAGACATGTACTTAAGATTTTTCTTAAAATCATACATGCCAGAATTTACAAGAAATGCGAAGAACATGTCGGTGAAATGCAATTTGGATTCCGCAATTCCCTAGGTACATCTGAAGCACTTTTCATTTTATAAGGCTTACTTCAGAGATGCCGTGGTGTCAGTTATGATGTCTATATTTGTTTTATTGACTACGCTAAGGCATTTGACCGTTGTCAGCACCAAAAGATGGTCGCCGTCCTACAAAGAGTAGGATTGGATGAGAAGGACATTCGGATCATCATTTATCTGCAATTTATACTGGAACCAGCGTGCTCAAGTCAAGATTGAAGACCAGCTGACCGACCAAGTGAAGATTATGCGAGGACTAAGGCAAGGCTGTGTGCTCTCGCCGACTCTTTTCAATATATAATCTGAGGAAATTTTTACTGAAGCCCTCACAAACCTAGAGATGGGAATCCGAGTGAACGGTGAATACATCAATACGCTTCGCCGATGACATTGTATTACTAGCAACCAGCCTAAATAATCTACAAACCTTACTAGTCCCAGTGAGAACTGTGACCGTAACATACGCACTAGACCTTAATATTAAGAAAACTAAATTCATGGTTGTCAGCCATGCAAAGTTAGATCCCGGAGCATTAATGGCAGGTAGCGAAGAGACCCTGAGAGTTGACAGATACGCTTACCTCGGGACTACCCTCAACTCAGAATGGGACTACGCTCAAGAGATTAGATCCAGAATTGAAATGGCATGGTCTACATTTATTAAGTTGAGATTCTTGCTGTGCTACAGTGATCAGAGTTTGGGAACCAAGATGCGGATAGTGAGGTGCTACATTCTTCCAGTGTTACTATATGGTGTTGAAGCCTGGACACTGACGCAAGCCACTGAAAAGCGGATTAAAGCTTTCGAGATGTGGATCTACAGGAGGATACTAAAAATATCGTATGTGGACCATTTCACCAACGTTGAGGTCCTACAGCGCATGAGAAAAGAAAAAGAAGTGCTTAATTTAGTGAAACAACGTAAGCTTGAGTACCTCGGGCACGTGATGCGGAACGAAGAAAAATATCAAATTTTTCAACTCGTTATGCAGAGTAAAGTATTTGGCAGGATAGGACCGGGACTCCGTCGTATCTCGTGGTTAAAAAACCTCCGATAATGGTTTGGGATGACCTCCGCGGATCTGTTTCGCAGAGCAGTCAACGAAACTATAATAGTCTTGATGATCGCCAACATCCGAATCGGATAAGGCACTGAGGAAGAAGATGATTTTTGGTTGGGAGATGGATTGAAATAAAAATTTTATGGCTTCTTGATTATACCGACATTAAAACATCCAGTGGTTCAGGTCACCGAAACTGTTTTCACATTCACATGTATCTGTTGATGTATCTGTGCGAGGAGGGCAGACTGTGAGTCGGATAGAATTATATAACCTTCGAAATATAATATGCTGTTAATTATACAATCCATCGCCTTAATAATGGCGTAAACATTTGAAGTTGAGCTAAATCTACGTGAACAATTGAACTATGTGAATAAATTACGACAATAACTCATTACATTTTGCCTGAAGTGCTGGGTATATTATGTTATTGATTACAATTGTGATGGTTTTAGCACTCGCTAGGCGTTTTTCCAGAGATTTCTTATAAATATACTCCGCATGGACGTTAAAGAGAAGTGAAGTCAGAAAGCATCCCTGACGTCCTTCGCGTTTTATAGTTGGTGTTGCCATTTGTAGTACGAACACACCCAATATGATTCCAGTATATATTACTGATAACAATTACCCCGTCCATCGAGCCCAATCTCTTTTAGGATTTAACTCATTTTGTAATAGTTTATACGGTCAAATGCCTTCCGGTAATCAATAAAGCAAACGTAGTTTTCTTTGCACTTCCAAATATCTTTTCGCCAACAATGTCTGATGTCTGTTGCCTTTCGAAAACCATACTGGAATCAACTAAAATGTGCATCGCATTTATATAAATTCTGTTGTGAATTATCCGCATAAGGATTTTTTTCAGCGTGACTCATCAGGCTAATCGTTCTATGGTCCTCACATTTTCTTATATATGTGGAAGTTAGCTAGTCCTGTGAGAGCGTTCCTGTTTCATATACGTCATTGAAGAAGTACGCGCATTTGTTAACTTCTGTTTTCTTGAAGTGATCAAAATATTTCGCTACTACAGATTCTTCTTTAGGAGCTTGTCATCTGGTCTGTTGTCTGCCAATAATTCTAGAAGGTATCTTCCTTAAATTTGATTTTGTTTCTTTGGTTCTATTATTATTTTGTTATTCTCATATTTCATTAAAGATACATTTTTGTACATTAATGGAATGGCTTCTAGAGATCTACAACATCTTTTATTTTTGATGAAGTTCTCGGTTTTTGTGTTCCTACTTCTTTGCTCCTCTCGTTCAGCCATTGTTCCATTACCACCTGTATCTGTATGTGTTTTTCAATTTGCTTGTTGAGGCAATTTGCTGAGCAGACACTAAGACAAAAACAATTTTTGTTTTTGTCTTAGTGTCTGCCTTCCATCAATTTCAAGATCTTGTCTCTCATCCATGGGTTTTTTATGGATTTTTGTCTGCCTATTTTGGCGTCATATAGGTTTTGGCTTTTGGTATTCTGTTTATGAAATTTTGTCACCCTATAATTGCTAGGTAGTTTAAAATACCTACAATATTTCAAAATAAGAATATGTCTATTTCTAATTTTATACATTGGAGACTTATAGGGTGTTTAAATTCAAATATGGTTGTATAAACTAATTGATATATTTCTTCTTCCTGTAACCATACAACTCCTATAGGATTGGTCAGAGAATAAATCTCGCAATCGACAGCGTGCGCGTCGATAAAATGCAATAGACATAACTCGAAAGTGGATAAATACAATTCGTTTTGTTCGTGGTTTCGTAAAATGGTGCAAAAAATTACTATTGAAGTTACCGGTAAGTCCACACTTAGTTTTACCTTAACCTATACATTGTTTTGATTGTTTTTTGCAACCATTAAAAATTTGATGATTGTTTGCACCTAAGAAATAAAGTTCATTTATTTCAAAAGGGCTATTGAAAGAAATATAGTTGATATTAATTTATACTAGCACCAATATTGCACTTAAACTAATGACATCTTGGACATAAAAGTAACTCAATGCCTACCGTCGCAAATGCATATTTTCTAGCAGTGAGTATGGACAATCATAAGAAGATAAATAAAAATTAAAAACTGTAAGAAACAAGTAAACAATTAAACTGAACCGATTAACCAAACCCATTAAAAATCTGCAAGCAGTCACCAACGAAGATGTTACAGCATCTAAACATCGAGCTATCCAATAACTCTATACCAAAAATTTATATAAAGACTCAAGAAAATCAAGTCATTGAAGTTACGTATTTGGTTATGTACAAAACAGAGTAAATTAAAAACACGATAATTTAGTTTAATTAGTAATTAGTTAGTTTATACGACTCGCTACGTATTAAGATTTTTATAATATAGGTATTAAAACAATCGAACTATTGGTTGACATCAGGAACGATGTTCCCTGAAACTTTACTTGCGGTTCAGGATCAGGTTATAATAACCAAAAATTACCTGAAATATACCGTCAAAGACCTTCAGGTCCAAAACGACAAATGCCGATATGAATGTCAAGCCAGATAAACCATCCAACATCTTACCGGGGGCTGCCAGGCATTTGCTGCAACTGAATATAAGGAACGGCATGACTCAGTAAGGAAGATCCTTTATCAAGAGATAGCTTTTAAACTATGACTACTACAAACAAACCATCTCCCATATTATCAATACGTTCCTGAGAGTATGCTTGAGAATCACAAGCTATATTGGGGTCGCACTGTGCTCACAGACCAAACTGTAGCACATAATAGACCAGATCTTAATCCTCTTGCTAATTAATAAACTAACGAGATAAACAACACTAATCGATGTGGCGATACCTAACAACAATAATCTGCTTGTTAAGTACAACGAAAAGATCGCCAAGTACAGAGATCTGGAAATCCAAATAATGAGACAATGGAGAATGGAAAGTACCCAGACGATACCTATTATTCTTTCTACCACTGGAGTCATTCCGAAGAACCTAGAAAACATAAAAAAGCTGGATCTAAATGAACATCTATATAAGATCATGCAGAAATCTATGCTACTTTCGACATTCAGATGGGTGCGAAAATTTTTGAGAGATACACCGACGTACCAAGTCACCTAGGACTCGATAACATGGAAAGAGTCCCACCAGAGCTCAATTCTTTTGATACCGTAGATATCTGGGATGAGTGTCCGGATAAATCTGGATAATAATAAAGGCCTTAATTCATCACATAATATTATTTTCATAAATTAATTAATAATCAAAAAGCTGTGATGGGATATATAAACGGCTGTGCGCAGTTCGTTTGTTCCTACAGTTAATCCTAAATTGTTTTGATTCTTTGATAATTTATTTGCGTCTATTCCGGTTTAAAATGCCCTCCGGTAATATTAGCTTATTACACTTCGTATTTTTACAATAACATAATTTAAATAACAAGTTTTTCTCCTTTATTCAAAAATAAATGAAATGAGAGACGACTTGACGGAGGCGCAAGACACAGGTAATCAAGAAAACAATTTCACGAATCCCGCTGCGCTGCATAATGAGACCGGAGGGCGGGATTAAGGATAAACCGGCAGCCGGGATATGGGATTATCTACGGCAAGGATTCAGGACGCACAGGCCTCAACTACCATATTAGCCCGCTAAGTTATTTATTGCCTCATAATTAAGTTGGTAAGTGTCGTTTCATTTGCATATTGCTTTCAAATTAACCTGCTTGATGAAAACCTTAGTCTTTAATTAAATTCGCGTAGAGTTGCGTTACGGTTTAATGCAACTTTAAAAACTGGTATCAAATATTATAAGTAAAGCTATAAATATACTTTTATAAAGTGAACACATCCATCCTTTATTATATACAAGAACGTGTATGGTCCAATAATATTACAGTCCTATTTTTGCAGATGGCATTATAGGCATTACTTCTTCTCATACTTAGATCTAGTGGCAATTTTGTTATTAGAAATAATATATTTCTAGCTGTCGAATAGTTCATGAGAGATTTAGCCAATGTTGCTTATTATTGTCCATTATTTTATAATTCGTAATTATAGTATATTTAATGAATTTGCGATTGATTTGAATTATCGCTAGACACTCGACCACCCTACTAAACAGCAAAAGAAGCACAAAAGTAAATTGCTCTAGTATTAATGAAAATATGAAACAAGTAATTTCTAAATTATATTAAAAAATCCTTCTACTACTCGTATAATCTTTCTAGTATTAAGTATAGGTTATTCCACGAATATACGACTGTTTGGAATTATTGCTACAACGAATATTTTACTGTACAAGTAGAAGTATGAAAGTAAATTGGTCTAATTATTATTCCATAAAAAAAGGATCTTCTGTTACTATTACATATTATAAACTAAAATTATTTCAGTTAGTAGATGTTCAGATAGACGCAAAATTTATTGTGAAAATTAATCCAAAAATAACAAAAAAATTTACGTAAACGCTCCTACAAATAGGTAAATACAATGACCTCTATGAAGTTAAAATGTGTTCATCAGCCATTTGGGTTAGATTTCGGTGAAATGTAAACACTAAAGATGGGAGTATTCGAATACTGGAATCGAGTAGTATCCGATTTCTTACAGAATCAAATGTACTCGAGTACTCGAACTGGAAACCGATTGAGTACTGAGTATTTTTTTTACCGAATGTTTTATTTTATTTTATTTATACTTAATTTATATTTTTAATGTTCATCTAATATTTAAACTGTTTTTTATTTTTTAGACAATAGTAGAATACTGAAAGTTTTTTTATTAGCTAAATAATTACTTTATTTATACCAAATATTATATTAAAACACTCTTTTATTAGAAAAATTTTTGGTCCATTTTTGTGATACCTATCTTATTTGTTTTCAAAACTTGTTTACTTGTTACCTTTTGTATTTATTATAAAACAAAAAAAAACATACACAAAACACACACAAACAATTGAAAAATCATAGATACCTAAAGATTGACAAACCCACTATTAATTCAAAATCTGATAGCTACAATACTCGGTACTCAGTACTCAATAAAGTATCCGATTCCTTACTGTACTCGATTCCACGGTAACCGATTCCCATAAGTAATCGATTCTGACCATCACTAGTAAACACCAAAGAGG